GGCCGGGTAGGGGCCGTAATAGGGTGCTGGCCGGGTAGGGGACGTAATAGGGTGCTGGCCGGGTAGGGGGTGTAATAGGGTGCTGGCCGGGTAGGGGGTGTAATAGGGTGCTGGCCGGGTAGGGGGTGTAATAGGGTGCTGGCCGGGTAGGGGGTGTAATAGGGTGCTGTCCGGGTAGGGGGGTGAGTAGGGTGTAATAGGGTGCTGGCCGGGTAGGGGGTGTAATAGGGTGCTGGCCGGGTAGGGGGCGTAATAGGGTGCCGGCCGGGTAGGGGGTGTAATAGGGTGCTGGCCGGGTAGCGGGTGTAATAGGGTGCTGGCCGGGTAGGGGGGCGTAATAGGGTGCTGGCCGGGTAGGGGGTGTAATAGGGTGCTGGCGGGGTAGCGGGTGTAATAGGGTGCTGGCCGGGTAGGGGGCGTAATAGGGTGCTGGCCGGGTAGGGGGTGTAATAGGGTGCTGGCCGGGTAGCGGGTGTAATAGGGTGCTGGCCGGGTAGGGGGCGTAATAGGGTGCTGGCCGGGTAGGGGGCGGTAATAGGGTGCTGGCCGGGTAGGGGGTGTAATAGGGTGCTGGCCGGGTAGGGGGTGTAATAGGGTGCTGGCCGGGTAGGGGCCGTAATAGGGTGCTGGCCGGGTAGGGGGTGTAATAGGGTGCTGGCCGGGTAGAGGGTGTAATAGGGTGCTGGCCGGGTAGGGGGTGTAATAGGGTGCTGGCCGGGTAGGGGGTGTAATAGGGTGCTGGCCGGGTAGAGGGTGTAATAGGGTGCTGGCCGGGTAGGGGGTGTAATAGGGTGCTGGCCGGGTAGAGGGTGTAATAGGGTGCTGGCCGGGTAGGGGGCGTAATAGGGTGCTGGCCGGGTAGAGGGTGTAATAGGGTGCTGGCCGGGTAGGGGGCGTAATAGGGTGCTGGCCGGGTAGGGGGCGCTTGGTGTTCGGAATAATGTTAACATATATTATAAACTCTCGTCTTTAACCGACGTAATGTGTATTTTTTGGGAATTTCCTCAAAATTTATTTGTTTTTGATTTGTTCGGTGGCCGCTAAAGTGAAATGAATTTGGTCATAACTTGATCAGGAAACTAAATTTCAAGAAGTTTTTTTGGGTGATTTATATTTTAGTGATTTTTAAAAATATATAGTTATATTTTACGAATAAAAACCATTGGATAACCAATCAATAAAAAACTTTGCTAAATTATTGGTTATAAAAGCATGAACAGATATCGTTTGAAATGTAAATAGAAAGAAAATGGAACACAACAGAAAATGGTTCACACATAAACAGGAAACTGAAATATTTTGGTAAATAAACGAATATGCAAATTGGTTCATATACTTCGATATACCATATACTTAATACTATATATATTCATATATATATATACTCCAAATACTTGGCGTGTCCGTAGTTGCAAAGTGAGTCTACAAGGCCCGACGTGCCTAATATAAGCCAACTTCTCCTAATGTTATATATTTTTCTAAATTTGTTTCTTATGAAATAATAAAGCTTTCTATTACATTTAGGATTTAATTATTCTTAATTTGAGTTAAAACTAACATAGAAATATGACTAAACCTATCCTACCTAACCTATCTTATCTTAACCTAACCTAACCCTAACCTATCTTAACCTAACCTAACCTATCTTATCTTAACCTAACCCTAACCTATCTTAACCTAACCTATCTTATCTTAACCTAACCCTAACCTATCTTAACCTAACCTATCTTATCTTAACCTAAACCTATCTTAACCTAACCTAACCTATCTTATCTGAACCTAACCCTAACCTATCTTAACCTAACCTATCTTATCTTAACCTAAACCTAACCTATCTTAACCTAACCTATCTTATCTTAACCTAACCCTAACCTATCTTAACCTAACCCTAACCTATCTTGACTTAACCCTCACCTATCTTAACCTAACCAAGAATTACATTTCACCTTTGTAAACACACATTAATGACACTGTAAAAAGCCACCTCGAACACTTTATGTAGGACAGACGTTAATCTGTGAATATATGTATGTAGGTTAGATTAACATTTTTAAAAGCAATACAATCACTCTGTGATTGATTGAAATTGAAGTAAGTTTATTGAGGTAAAATCCACACAAAGGGATGAGGTAGCTGAAGCTATTCTCACCCCGTTCAGTACATCGTGTTAATACATACATAGACACACATCACAAACAATAAACATATTACCAAACATTCAAACATTCTGAGAGATGGCCATACGAGCAAACGGCCAAATTCAGACGTAATTTGCAAGAGGACAGGTTGTAAACAGCTCTCTAACACTGTCCATGGAGGACAGGTTGTAAACACATCTCTAACACTGTCCAGGGAGGACAGAAAAAATGTATATATGCTGGTCAGCATTGTAAATGTGTGGCTACGTCTGTGGTATGAAACAAAAGAGTACATAAGAGAGGCCGAAGACCTCCAGCCGCTGCCTTAGTCCTCAGCTGACCTTTGACCTCCTTCCCCGCAGGTCAGGACGAGCCCGTAAGAGCGAGAGGAGCCCCCCACCAGGTGACGGCGTCTCCATCGACACCAGCGACCGCAAGTCAACCTCCCCCAGGTCAGTAGTGGTCACCCCAGATCAGTAGTGGGTCACCCCAGGTCAGTAGTGGTCACCACAGGTCAGTAGTGGTCACCACAGGTCAGTAGTGGTCACCACAGGTCAGTAGTGGTCACCCCAGGTCAGTAGTGGTCACCCCAGGTCAGTAGTGGTCACCACAGGTCAGTAGTGGTCACCACAGGTCAGTAGTGGTCACCACAGGTCAGTTGTGGTCACCACAGGTCAGTAGTGGTCACCCCAGGTCAGTACTGGTCACCCCAGGTCAGTAGTGGTCACCACAGGTCAGTAGTGGTCACCCCAGGTCAGTACTGGTCACCCCAGGTCAGTAGTGGTCACCCCCAGGTCAGTAGTGGTCACCCCCAGGTCAGTAGTGGTCACCCCAGGTCAGTAGTGGTCACCACAGGTCACCCCAGGTCAGTAGTGGGTCACCCCAGGTCAGTAGTGGTCACCCCAGATCAGTAGTGGGTCACCCCAGGTCAGTAGTGGTCACCACAGGTCAGTAGTGGTCACCCCAGGTCAGTAGTGGTCACCACAGGTCAGTAGTGGTCACCACAGGTCAGTAGTGGTCACCCCAGGTCAGTAGTGGTCACCCCAGGTCAGTAGTGGTCACCCCAGGTCAGTAGTGGTCACCCCAGGTCAGTAGTGGTTACCCCAGGTCAGTAGTGGTCACCACAGGTCAGTAGTGGGTCACCCCAGGTCAGTAGTGGTCACCCCAGGTCAGTAGTGGTCACCACAGGTCAGTAGTGGTCACCACAGGTCAGTAGTGGGTCACCCCAGGTCAGTAGTGGTCACCCCAGGTCAGTAGTGGTCACCCCAGGTCAGTAGTGGTTACCCCAGGTCAGTAGTGGTCACCACAGGTCAGTAGTGGGTCACCCCAGGTCAGTAGTGGTCACCCCAGGTCAGTAGTGGTCACCACAGGTCAGTAGTGGGTCACCCCAGGTCAGTAGTGGTCACCCCAGGTCAGTAGTGGTCACCCAGGTCAGTAGTGGTCACCACAGGTCAGTAGTGGGTCACCCCAGGTCAGTAGTGGTCACCCCAGGTCAGTAGTGGTCACCCCAGGTCAGTAGTGGTCACCCCAGGTCAGTAGTGGGTCACCCCAGGTCAGTAGTGGTCACCCCCAGGTCAGTAGTGGTCACCCCCAGGTCAGTAGTGGTCACCACAGGTCAGTAGTGGTCACCCCAGGTCAGTAGTGGTCACCCCAGGTCAGTAGTGGTCACCCACAGGTCAGTAGTGGTCACCCCAGGTCAGTAGTGGTCACCCCAGGTCAGTAGTGGTCACCCCCAGGTCAGTAGTGGTCACCCCAGGTCAGTAGTGGGTCACCACAGGTCAGTAGTGGGTCACCCCAGGTCACCCCAGGTCAGTAGTGGTCACCCCAGGTCAGTAGTGGTCACCACAGGTCAGTAGTGGTCACCCACAGGTCAGTAGTGGTCACCCCAGGTCAGTAGTGGTCACCCACAGGTCAGTAGTGGTCACCCCCAGGTCAGTAGTGGTCACCCACAGGTCAGTAGTGGTCACCCCCAGGTCAGTAGTGGTCACCCCAGGTCAGTAGTGGTCACCCCAGGTCACCCCAGGTCAGTAGTAGTCACCACAGGTCAGTAGTGGTCACCCCAGGTCAGTAGTGGTCACCACAGGTCAGTAGTGGTCACCCCAGGTCAGTAGTGGTCACCACAGGTCAGTAGTGGTCACCACAGGTCAGTAGTGGTCACCCCCAGGTCAGTAGTGGTCACCCCAGGTCAGTAGTGGTCACCCCAGATCAGTAGTGGTCACCCCAGGTCAGTAGTGGTCACCCCAGGTCAGTAGTGGTCACCCCAGGTCAGTAGTGGTCACCCCAGGTCAGTAGTGATCACCCCAGGTCAGTAGTGGTCACCACAGGTCAGTAGAGGTCACCCCCAGGTCAGTAGTGGTCACCCCAGGTCAGTAGTGGTCACCCCAGATCAGTAGTGGTCACCCCAGGTCAGTAGTGGTCATGCTCAGTCCAAGGGTCCAGACCAGGTACTCTGGTACGGTAAAAATGAGGACCTTAAACATAATACAGGGTACAAAACACAATCATCTCTGCCCACAGTAGGAAAACAGCATGTCAAGGATTTGGGAATAATGATGTCTGATGACCTAACGTTTAGGGAGCATAACCAAGCAAATATTGCGTCAGCCAGAAAAATTATAGGATGGATTACGAGAACTTTCAAATCCAGGGATCCCATCACAATGGTTGTACTCTTCAAGTCACTTGTGTTGTCCCGTCTTGAGTACTGCTCAGTACTAGATCATGCTCTACTGCACATAGAGATTTTAAATGTAGTTATTGTCCTTGTATATAAGTCACCGGAGGCAAGTCATTAGCAGTTTAAAGACCAACTAATGAAAATAGAACACTGCTTGGAAAACCTCACAAATCCAGCTCCGAACATCATCCTGCTTTGGGGACTTCAACCTACGGCACCTGAAATGGAAGCACCTGGTTAATACAGTAATATCAGAAAGAATACCAGGAAGTAGCCTAAATGAACAGGCACATGCAAATGACCTGCTACGGATGTGCGATAGGTTTGCCTTAAACCAGCAAATAGTAGAACCAACTAGGAAGGAGAACACGCTGGACCTCATTTTCACTATTAATGATGAGTTGATCGGGAACATAATGATTACAAATACCTGCTACTCAGATCACAACTTAATTGAAGTTATGACAAGCATGGGGAATAGACCTTCAAAACCAGTCCATATTCCTGGTGGAGGAGATTTCAGCAAATTCAACTTCAATAATAAACAGATAAACTGGGAGCAAATAAACCAGGACTTCACAGAAATAAACTGGGAAGAACAGCTAGAAAATGCAAACCTGAACCAGTGCCTGGAAAAAATAAGCTCAGTAGCACTAGAAATATGTTCAAACCGCATACCCCTAAGAAAAAAGAGAAAGAGATGCAGATTGGAACGGGAACGTCGTTCCCTATATAGGCGAAGAAAACGAATCGCGGAACAACTTGAGAGTCGCACCCTATCTCAAGAACGGCGAAGAAGGTTAGGTAGAGAAATAGAAACAATTGAACGGAAGCTACAAGAATCATACAAAACCCAGGAGAGGCAAAGAGAGCAAAAGGCCATCAGTGAAAGAGAAAAATCCGAAATATTTTTTCTCCTATGCAAAATCAAGATCAAAAACCACATCTAGTATCGGGCCCCTGCGAAAGGGAGATGGAACTTTCACCGATGACAACAAAGAAATGAGCGAGTTACTGAGGAAGCAGTACGACTCTGTTTTCAGCGAGCCACTAAACTCGCTAAAGATTGATAACCCAAATGAATTTTTCATGGGTATGATACCAACATCAATCATATATCAGACGTCACCCTATCCCCACTGGATTTTGAGGAAGCTATAAACAGTATGCCTATGCACTCTGCACCAGGCCCGGATTCTTGGAACTCATTCATCAATAACTGTAAAAAAACCACTATCACAGGCCCTTCACATTCTGTGGAGACAAAGCCTAGATACTGGCGTTATCCCTGACATACTAAAAACAGCAGAGATAGCACCACTCCATAAAGGAGGAAATAAGGCAGAGGCAAAAGATTACAGACCGATAGCACTAACATCACACATCATAATTTTTTTGAGAGAGTGCTAAGAAGTAAGATCACAAAATACACGGAATCACAGCAACTCCATAACCCCGGACAACATGGTTTCAGAACAGGGCGCTCTTGCCTGTCGCAGTTGCTGGACCACTATGATATGGCATTAGATGCTATGGAAGACAAACAAAATGCTGATGTAATTTACACAAATTTCGCAAAAGCTTTTGATAAATATGACCATGGTGTTATTGCCCCAGGGTACTGTGCTTGCTCCAGTACTTTTTCTCATCCTCATTTCGGACACAGACAAGAACACAACCTATAGCACTATATCATACTTTGCAGATGACACTAGGATCTTCATGAGAGTTGGCAACATAGAGGACACGGCAAACCTCCTGTCAGATGTAGATCAGGTCTTTCTATGGGCTACAGAAAATAATATGGTGTTTAACGAGGATAAGTTCCAGCTCATGCGCTATGGAAAAAAATTAAAATATAAAAACGGAAACCACGTACAAAACTCAGGCAAATCATAACATAGAACGAAAAAGCAATGTAAAGGATCTGGGTGTACTCATGTCGGAAGACCTTACCTTTAAAGAACACAATAAAGTAGCCGTCACAACTGCAAGAAAAATGACAGGTTGGATAACAAGAACTTTTCACACTAGAGATGCTATACCGATGATGATACTCTTCAAGACGCTAGTGCTCTCTAGAGTGGAGTACTGCTGCACAATGACAGCCCCTTTCAAAGCTGGAGAAATTGCTGACCTGGAGAGCGTGCAGAGATCCTTTACTGCTAGAATCCACTCAGTAAAACATCTAAACTATTGGGACCGACTAAAGAGCCTAAATCTGTATTCTCTTGAGCGCAGGCGGGAGAGATACATAATAATCTCTACGTGGAAAATATTGTTGGGGCTGGTCCCCAAACCTGCACACAGAAATAACACCACATGAGACCAGAAGGCATGGCAGGATGTGCAGAATACCCCCGTTGAAAAGCAGAGGTGCAACAGGTACTCTGAGAGAGAGAACTCTATCAACATCAGAGGCCCGAGACTGTTCAACACGCTTCCACTACACGTAAGGGACATAACTGGCCGACCCCTTTCAGTGTTCAAGAGAGAACTATCAACATCAGAGGCCCGAGACTGTTCAACACGCTTCCACTACACATAAGGGACATAACTGGCCGACCCCTCGCAGTGTTCAAGAGAGAACTGGATAAGCACCTCCAAAGGATACCTGATCAACCAGGCTGTGATTCATACGTCAGGATGTGAGCAGCTGCGTCAAACAGCCTAGTTGACCAGTCCAGCAACGAGGAGGCCTGGTCGACGACCGGGCCGCGGGGACGCTAAGCCCCGGAACAACTCCAAGGTAACTCCAAGGTACAACGTACTGGA